CAAACTCCTCCCGGGAGCTTTAGCACCTGACATTAAACCACAGGCCCTGCGCCAGGGACTCCAGCTACCGCCATTGGTTAGCGCTGGCAGTGTGCTGGACGTGAACTCTTGTTAATAGAACCGTCCTGCCTTTCATTCTTCTAAACAGGCAAGGGGTTCTTCCCCCAAACGAACAAGCCAGCAAGCCTTGGTGGCTGCCCCTGCCGCCCTCCGTCAGGGAGCCTGGGAGAGCCCCCAGCCCCTCCTCCAGCAGCCGGTCAGGCCCCATGCTGGCTTCCCAACCTTCCTGATTCACCCCTGGCGGCTTCTTTGAACCCGAGCTCAGCTCAGAACCAGCTGCTCATGGGCCCATAGGACCCAGAGGGGGAACCTGCCTTCCCTCCTGAGGTGCCACCGGAGACGGGGCTCCCCCAGCCCCAGGATCCCCCAAACCCAGGCTGCCCCAGCCCCAGGCTCCCCAGCCTGGGGCTCCAGGCCGGGCACCTGGCAGGCTGCTCTTTCTGCTTGGACTCAGTCCACATGCCTGGCGATGACTTGCAGGCACTGATGGAGGCCCTGCAGCTGCTGACAGCCTGGCAGCTCCTCAGAGAGGAGTGGCAACAGTCCCACTGTGAAGTCAGAGATCACGGTCACAGGTCCTAGTCTGACCTTGGGCCCTGGGCCCCAGTCTGACCTTGGGCCCTGGGTCCCAGTCTGACCTTGGGCCCTGGGTCCCAGTCTGACCTTGGGCCCTGGATCCCAGTCTGACCTTGAGCCTTAGGTTCCAGTCCAACCTTCAGCCGCCCTCGGTTAGGCTGTGACACACTTCCATGAGGACATCTTCTTAAACCTTAGTTTTAAGAACTATCTCTCTCTCTTCTCCTCACTTACTTTCCTGTCCCAGGCTCCAGCGCAGGCTGACCTGATTGAATGGCTGATTCCAGCCCCTGTCATCCCTGAGTCACCCCTTTGGGGTGTTGTCCATGCCCCTGAGTCCAGCCCCAGCCTTGCCACCTGCCTCCAGGTCTCGCGGACACGCAGCCGCTCTGGTTGTCCAGCCTCCCGGAATCGCCATGCCCACCTCTCGACGTTTCCCCCTTAGACCCACTGCTGAGACTTGCCCCGGGGCCTCCTCTGCCCCTGCCTCTTCTGCTCACCCCATTGTCCCAAGTGCCAGCGGAGCCTGAGGCTGGGCAGCCCTCCCCGCATGGGCGCTGGGCTTTGTGATGACTTACATGTGCCTGCACCGGGAAGTTTGTTTTCACAAGGGAGGCCCCAGGGCGGCTGGCATAGTTTGCTCCTTCATCAGAGATGCCAGGTGCTTTTCAGTGAAACAGAGGACCTCACTGGGCACCCCTCCTCCCCGCTGCTCCACCATCTCTGTCCAACCTCCGCCCAGGCTCTCCCTTCACCCCTCACACCCCTCAGACCCCGCGTCCAGCAGAATCAGCACCCTCTCTGCAGGCTGGGGCTGCCTCTGAGAGTCACCTGAATCACCTGTAATTCAATCAGAACCTGCCCGGGGCCTGGGAAAATTGGGGAAATTTGGTTTCTGTTCTGTTTGTGTGAAGGCCAGAAGCCTCTGCCACCAGCTGTACAGTGTCTTATAGTTACCAAGTTATTCCTGACACAACCCTTAGCATGCAGAGTCCCAGGAACAGTGTGTTTGATGAGTAAGTGGGTGGATGTTCTGATTCACTTTTTCCTACGTGTGCCATGCCAGCTCAGCCAAGGGTTCGTTCAGTGAGCCTGAGGAGGGGCAGTGAAGGATTAAAGAAAAGACAGACAAAGAGAATACAGCTGGGGCTTGGTGGGTCTCCTGTGCCTGGATGAGGCCACAGAGAAGGATCCAGATGGCAAGCTGAGCCTTTATTTTATAGTCAGAGAAAAACAAGGTAGTGGTCAACATAGTTACAATGTTCTTGTGAGTTTCGCTTGTTTTGGCAGCACTTGCTGCACCTCCCACAGCCCATTAGCTACCCAGGAAGGATCTAGACCCAAACAAAGTAACTAAAAGGAGCTGTTCTTCCCTGGCCGGTGTGTCTCAATTTTTATCGATTTCAGAGAGTGAGAGTGGTCAAAAACATTGGCTGAGCACCCAAGGGTCGTGGGTTCAATTCCAGTCAAGGGCATGTACCTGGGTTGCAGGTTCAACCCCCGCCTCAGTTGGGGCGTGTGTGGGAGGCAACCAATTAATATGTCTCTCTCACATCAATGTTTCTCTCTCTTTTTCTCTCTCCTTCCTTCCCTTCCTCCCTTCTAGTCTCTCTAAAAATTAATGGAAGCCAAGCCAGCATGGCTTAGTAGTTGAGCATTGACCTACGAACCAGGAGATCACAGTTTGATTCCTGGTCAGGGCACATGCCCAGGTTGGGGCTTTATCCCCAGCGTGGGGCATGCAGGAGGCAGCTGATCAATGATTCTCTCTCATCATTGATGTTTCTATCTCTCTCTCTCTCCCTCTCCCTTCCTCTCTCTGAAATCAATAAAAATATTTTTAAAAAATCACATACAGGGACAAAAAAAATTTAATGGGAATAATATCCTTGGATAAGGATTAGGGGAAAAAAAAGAATCTGTTCTTATACCACCCAGAAAAACCAGTTAACTTTTTACCATCTTTCCATTTACTATAGGCTTGCATTCTCTCACATACTAAATTGAATCATACCATATTCATTTAGTAATATATTGTATGAAATCTTTGTTTTATTAAAAAAAACTTGTAGACAAGTCAGCTAATATTAGGGATGTTAAAACTTAACTGTGGCCTGGTTGGTGTTGCTCAGTGGTTGAGCATCGACCCATGCACCAAGAGGTACCAGGTTTGAATCTGATCATGGCACATGCCCAGGCTGTGGGCTTGATCCCCAGTAGGGTTTGTGCAGGAGGCAGCCAATCATGTTTCTCTCTCTCTCTCCCTCTCCTTCCTCTTTCTAAAAAAAAAATAAAAGCGTATTTAAAAATAAACAACAACAAAAAACTTAACTGTGAAAGTCCCCTAGAAGGACCCTAAGGCCTCTCTGATACTCAGCTACTCTCTCACTCTTGTGTGCAAACCCTTAAATAACACTTGTGTTTGAAAGAATGAACCGCAGGAGACTGCGAAAGAGGGAGTCACTCTCCAGTGACTACATATAGGGACAAAAAAAAAGTTTAGTGGAAATGAACACATTTCCTGAGGGGCTTCAGGTTAAATTCACCATTCTTTTAAACCCATGCTTGCTGTTTCTACAGCAGAAAATCATAATCGCTCATTTTTATCACCCACTTTTTTTTTGGCGAGGGGCTAAACAGTTCACATGATTTTTTTAAATTAATTTTGCTCACAATAGAACCATTAACTTTCCATAGTTCTTGCCATCCGAAGGCTACAGGTCAGCTCGGATGCTAGCAATCCCTGTGTAATGCAGTCTTCGCCACAACCATGCTCCCAGGAACCTGTGCTGATGACCCCTGCTCCTTATCGAGGCCCTCTGCAATCTCACTGGCCCTGTGTGTGTGTGTGTGTGTATAAAATATATGTTTTTATTGATTTCAGAGAGGAAGGGAGAGGGAGAGAGAGACAGAAACCAGAAACATCAATGATGAGAGAGAATCATTGATTGGCTGCCTCCTGAATGTCCCCTACTGGGAAGTGAGCCTGCAGCCCAGGCATGTGCCCTTGACTGGAATTGAACCTGGGACCCTTCAGCCTGCAGACTGACGCTCTATCCAGTCAGCCAAACCAGCCAGGGCACATGTGTGGTTTAAAACTCCCATCTGCCTTCTGGGGGGAAGGTGACCATTCACCCATGTCCAGCTGACACCAGTTTTCTTTGTCTCCTGATTTCCTGAAGGTTTGCAGTGGCGGCTCTGTTAAGTGAATTCTCAGGCCGCACGTTACATAAGCGGGTGCTGAGCTGGCCCGAATCGGGAGGGTCCACCTGAATAGCAGACAATGCAGCTGAGCCCCTTAATGTGCTGAAACGAACTGGGGGACACGTTGTGTGCAGAACACGCGATCTGTTCCCAATCCGCTGCGGAGATAACCTGTGTCTCACTGCTCCGCACCCTCTGCGCGCCCTGCCCACAGCCTGGCAGTGAGTCAGGGCTGGTCTCTGTGAGGGGAATGGTGATACCTTCCCCGGGCTCTCTCCCACTGGGCCCAATCAGCAGGCAGCAGCACGCCCGGGTGTTATTCTCCTGGTCTTTGTACAAGCCGCTTTCAGAGCCATGACTGCCACCAGGCTTGCATTGTGAACGGCCACCTGCAGACTGCTGGCTGCTACTGGGCACATCGTACATTGTGTCCTCTGAGATTTCTTATGCAAAAACGAAGGTGCTAAATTCCGCTGAGTCCAGAGCAAGGGAAATGTCTGCTTCCTTCCTTTTTCAGGTCCCGGGGACTGCAACGGTCCCTGATGCTTCCTCTTGGGCCCCGGCTTCCTGGTTGTCAGGGAGCTGGTGGCTGGGTAACCCACCCGGCCGGAGCGTGCTGGAACCCAGGTTTGCTGGTACGACGCCTGCCCACGGCCTCATTATCAGTCTCATGCCCCCGGGCCGCCTCCTCCTGGTCTTGTCCCGCTGGTTTACAGCCCCTTGCTGTGTAATAAAGACGGCATGGGCTTAAGAGTCCGACTGCCTGGAATTTTGAGAAGCAAACTAACAATTTGTAATGGTGTAACCTTGAGGGAGTTTCGTAATAGTCTCTCTGCCTCCCCTTTTCATTTGTATAGAAAGGACAATGGATGCACCTGCCTGCGACAGTCATTGTGAAAATGAAATAAAGTGATGCCTATAAAGTGTGGTTCCAAGATCTCATTATTGCAGTCGTTTCCTTTGGAAGAAATCGTGGTGAAATATACGTAACATTTGCCATCTTAACCACGTTTGAGTGGACAGCTCAGCGGTCAGTACGTTCCCATGGCTGTCAGAAGTCTTCTCATCTTGCACATCTGAAACTCCGCACCTGGAAATAACCAGGCCCCGTGCCCTGCTCCCTGCCCCCCAGCCACCCGCTCTCTGCCTCTGGGACCCCGATGCCGCCAGATGCCTCAGGTAAGCGGAGTCTCGCTGTGCTGTCTTTCTGTGACCGGCGGATGTCACTGACACACTGTCCTTGGGCTCATCTATGTTGCAGCCTACGTGAGCATGTCCTTCCTCGTGAGGGCTGAGTACAATGGTATGTGCAGGGCACATTTGCTCACCCACTCATGATGGACACGTGAGTTATTTCCAACTTCTGGCCTCACAGAGGAAGACACAGAAGCAACTTTGGGGTCACAGGACTCGGTGAAGAATTCGATGGGACGTCAAAAGTCTAATCAATAGGAGAAACTGATCAATGGGACTTCACTGCAATGAAAAACTGTGCCCTGTGAGGCTCTGTTAAGAGGATACATAACAAGGTAATAGACCAAAGGAAATATGTGCAAACCAGTGATTTGGCAAAGGACTGGTGTCGTGCCTATGAAAGGAGCCCGTAAAACTCAACAGCTAATAAGCCAAACAGCTCAATTAGAATACGGGCAAGGCACACGCCAGACACCCGGAATGGCAAGCAAGCACCCGGACGATGTTTCGCAGCATCGCTGGCAGGCAGATGAAGATTCAATGAGGTATCGCTACACACTCACAACCGCCAAAAAAAAAAAAAAAAAAAGACAGCGTCAGATGCTGGCAAGAATGTGGAGAGACCGAATTTCATACAGTGCTGGTGGGAATGTAACATGGTACAAGCCACTCTGGAAAGCGATCTGGCAATTTCTTCAAAACCTAAACATACAAACCATAAACTCAACCAGCACACTTCTTGGCATTTCCCGGGGAAATGAAAACGTATGTCTACACAAAAAATCTGGGCACAACTCTTCATAGCAGCTTTACTTGTAATAGCCCCACCCAGGAAACACCCGCATGCCCACAGCAGTGACTGGTGCAAGGAGCTGCGATTCCTCCCCAGCCACAAACAGGGGCCCGGACATACCCGACAGCGGGCGCGGATCTGAAGGGCGCTGTGCTGAGTAGGAAAGTCAGCATCTACAGGCTGTGTCCTGTCCGGCCCGTGTACTCAACCTCCGTCAGAAGGAGCACTGAGCTGGAGGACAGATTGGTGACTGGGAGGGGTGGGAGGTGGTGGGAGAGCTGGGGGCAGGAGGGAGGCCTCCCTGGCCAGATTCTGGTGGTGGTTCCGGGGGTCTTCACTTGGGATAAAATGACACAGGCTCCCCTCCCCGTGCAGAACTCTCCCGGATTTAAGTAAGATGGAATCAGAGGGAGAAACCAGGTGAGGGACGCACAGGACCTCTGTGTTATTCTAATGATTTTTAAAAAAACAACAGAAACGACGTGGCCACATTATTTCATAAGAGGAGAAAGCAAAGGAGGGACCTCAGCTCTGCCCATCCATGCCCTGGGGAGGAGGAGGGTGCCGGGGAGTGGAGCGGCCTCCCTCCCTGGGTGGGAGGCGAC